TTGTGGGAGAGTCAAAGATCTCTGCAAAACGATTTCAAAAGGGTTCTCTGAAAAACGATCGCGGAATAAAAAAACCGATTTCAGAGGTTTTGATGAATAACGTCTTCTAGACTAACTTCAGAATCATACGAAAACAGTAGCGATATAAGTTGGTCTTGATACTTGTAACTCAGCTCAGAAATTAATAAGCTTCGAAAAATAATTTCCCGACCTTGATTTCTCTTGATTCACCACAAAAAATGAAAAAAAAATAGCCTTACCTTGTTTAGATGAGCGCTTTAAAAAATAAACAAATGCGTTGGCGTTCGAGGACGGTCGTTTATTCATGTGGATGGGAGCGGACTGTCCCTCGCTAAGGGATCAAAAATCACGTTAAGACACCAGAAATCAGAATAATTTTCTTTAATCGCTACGATATAACTTTCGGAGATGAGAAGGAAAATTTCTAGAGACTAAATTTTACAAATTGGTGAAAATCTAGTTGAAAAAATATGAAAAAACTGAGATAAAGAAACAAAGAGGTAATTCTTTTTTCGAGGTTCAGAAGAACAAATTGACATTTTATTCAAATCTTCAAACGGATTCAAACGGTATTGTAAGAAAAGGATACTGAAGTGGTTATTTCAAGCTGAATTACACTTTACAAAAAGCCCTTTTGAGTTCTAACTGACCAAATCTTCACTTCAATCCAGCCATCCTAGTACTTTGGCTCAAGTTCCGAGAAGATCCACACGATCAAAGATCAAAACAAGTTCTTTGAGTAGTGATAAATTTAGAAAACAAAATGAGAAGTTTTGAGAATACCCTTCAAACACTGGCAAAACACCATAGGCTGGTTGTATCGAGAATAAACCACACCATGTACCGGAAAGCTTCTTCAAAGCTCCAGCTTATCAAATCTCAAGTTGAGTTCAGTGCTTATGATGAACGGCTCTTTATTTTGTGAGGATGATTACCCGAACTCCGAACTTCATGATCAGTGGTCAAATAATCTTTTCTCGGAAGCCCTTAACAATATGAGAACATCTTCCAATTTTCTAAGAAATTGTACCGGAAAGCTTTTTCGGAACTGCGAATTGCCAAGATTTTGCTCAGATCTTTTTCTCCGATTCTAATCAAATTCAAAAAATAACTTGAAGTTTCATGTTGAAGATTAAAAAACAGAAAATACTTGAAAAAACGATCAAGATCAAAAAGCTTTCAAGATTTTTACGAAACACGCTTAAAACCCTTGTTATCAAACTGAGTGCAAACTTGGTAAAGCTTCTAAAGATCCAGATCGTGTTTCGAGCTTTTCGTCGACTTTTCCAGGATTTTCGTTTGTTTGTTTCCTTTTGAGGAAGATTACTCGAAACTCGATAAGATGAGGATCTTTTAAAGATATGGCTATGCATCAAAAAACTTCCTCAAGCTTAGTTGATCATCAAAACTGTCAGGACTCAAAAAGCTTTTGACCGAGAGAATTTTGATAGCGTTTTCATGGATCGCTTTCAGGAAAAAAGCGGTTTCAGAAGTGTTTTAACTCGAAAATCTGTCTGAAAATCTGAGATCTTTCAAGTCTAGATCTCAATCAATTATCTTAGTTCACCCCTTTAGCCTACTTTTAGCTTGATACATTTATTGGAAATAGTTTCTTTTGCTCTCATAAACCTAAAAAAAAACCAAAAATGTTTTGCTGAATGACCATTGAAAGTCAAGTTTTCGAACGGCAAACAAGGTTAGATTTATTCTTCCTCGATTGAAGTCAACAAGAAAGTTAATGCAAATGTTGGCCGAGCAAAGAAATTGCATCGCGTCTCATTTGATCTCCGTTTTTCTTCATCTTTGAACCTTCCCATACATTCTGACCATGCATGTCAACTTCACGTGTTCATTCTAATTTAGGGTCAGGATGTGAAAGAAAACTGAAAAAAGTTATGAATTGAGCCCTGAATAACTATTAATTTTGACTCTGAGAAAAATTATAATTGCGATATGTAGACAGAGGGAATGAATAGAAGTGATTTTTTTGTTAAAAATTTGTTGCGATTTTTGTTTTTTTGAAAAAAAAATTTTTTTGATCAGAAACTTCTACGGAACATAATTAAAAAGAAATCTAAAAATTTGAAAAACTTTTTTTCAGTTTCAGAACGCAGAAAAATACAAAAAGACGGCACGCTTCTGGAAAAAAATTTAAAAAAAATCGAGTACAAATAAGAATTATAATAATTTAAGCTGCAATTTTGCCCATCAAACCTCATTTTTCAAAAAAATCGAGGCTTTAAATTAATTTTTTTATAACTGCAATTTTTTTCGAGTCCTACCTTGATAATTAATTTTGAAAAAGGGGAATTATTCAAAAAAAGCCTCCCTAAGATTCTCAAAAAAATCGGGATCAAACATTTACTAGAACCACTATTTGTTCCCAAAAAACGCACTTCTTGCAAAGTTCTGGTCTCCTAGATAACATTTCGGTTTCACCTTCCTTGCAGCTTTCTTAATCTGTGAAACTTCAGTTCTGTGGCGTTTGTTACGGCGTGAAACATCATGCCAGTTTGTTGTAGACTGTAAGGGAACACCCTGGTAATGCTCAAAAACCAAAAAAACAGTTTTTTCGCATCGAATGTTGCGACTTGATTTTGGGACAAGTGTTTGGGTCTACGTCAAGAATCAGCCTTTCAAATAGACATTTTAAAGGTTTGAAACAGAATATTCAAGATACGCTAAAGTTCCGCAAGCTGGAAGAATGAGAAAAATATTTTTTTATTGTAACAAAAATCATAATTTCGAAAACTCTACGAATTTTACAGAAATTGTTGGTTCGTGATTTTTCTAACTGTTTATGAAAAACTAGGAAATTGAGAAAAAAACGGGTTTTTGAGTTTTTTTGAGCACTTCCAGCGTAATTTTTGCTCATTTTTAATTTTTACCAAGGTCTACCAGGCTCTGAGAATCAAACGCAGTTCTGAAAATCCAAGTCCAAGGTGTTCTTCAGTTTTTTCTATTTTTGGCTAGGAAACTTTCTATTTTAGTTCTCTGGCAATATACTCTGTTATTGCAGAGTTCTGTTTTTGGTTTCTTCCGAAAATCGTCAGATCAAACACGTGGTTGGTATTTGAATGTACATCGATCAGCGTTTCCTTTAATAATTCTCAAGAAGGAGATTAGCAAACCAACCGACCAGCAAACAGGGATGAGTACATGGTCTGATTCATAGAGCAGTCGGAATAGCAATAACAATGGCAAAAATATTTACTCTGGCCAAGGCTTGCTTCCAAAATGCAGATGAAATGAGCAAGGAAACTGAAGCAACGAAACATATTTTCACACAGAAACGGGAACTTCCTTTTGGGAGACAAGAGAAATCATCACAAACGTCTTATGATTCCATGAAACATGCCGAAATCAAATATTAAGGGATAAAATTCGAGATAAAACATCTTGAAGTTCGCAGAAAAGGCGACTTATTTTCAGGATAGGAAGTTTTCTGAAAATCGACTGGAAATATAATTGATAGATCAGGATCTTCCCTTGGTTCATCAAGGAGTTTCTACTAACTGGGAAAACTTTCTATAGAGGCTCGCCAAGGACTACTTGGGGAAAGGACACTAAAGTGGCCACTAAACCCACCTCTATAGTGGCTACTATCTTCCGTTTCAGTGGCCACTATAAAGGTTCTCTATTTAGTGACCACTTCAGTAGTTTTTCATCCAGTATTCCTTCCAGTAATTCTGATAATTTTAAAACAAACAGATTGGACCAGTTATGTTGATCCATTGACCCCTAAAGTGGCCACTAAAATTTTAAGTGGTCTAATAGTAGCACTGAGACCTCTACAGTGGTCACTAATTCGATTACTATAGAGGCCACTAAAACGTCAAAACCCTATAGTGGCTACTAAAACATTTTCGCAGTAGCTCAACCAAAGATATTTTTATTTCCAATAGCAATGAGACTCCTTCGTTCTTCTGTCAAGGAATGACAAAAATTTAGTATCCAGAAAATACTAACCTTTGACTGCTGTAGAACACATTGAAGCTAATGCCGATTGCAGGGAGAGATGGTCCGACATACCAACTTTTCGAAAAAATCTCGAAAATCTCGAAGAAAGAAGAAGAGGCGGCTACCAGCTGATCCCAAGTCTTGCCAAAGCTTTCTATTTTCTTTTCTCAGATAAATCTGTAGATGGTTTTGAGTCATATGAAGTCCTTCGAAACGTAGATCTGTGCTATGGTAAAACGAAACCGGATTGCAAAACTCCAAACTTTTCCTTGAGCGCTACTGTTTCGACTGCTCCGGCTCTTTCTGATTATTTTTTATATATTTTTAGGACGTATAAGGCTAAGGCTCCGTGGTGAGCTGATAATCAAATTCGATGTCTCCTGTAATCTATATTTCTTTCTTCAAGACTTTTCGAATGCTCGGGTTCCGCGAAAGTAATAATAATTTTCGTCACGGTTGTTAAAACCTAAAACTGAAGCGATTTTTCGCAAAATTTCACTGGTAGAGCGCACACCACTAGGTGAGGACTGCACGCAATGGCATCCTAGCATAAGTCGTTCAAAGTCGGGTGCAGCTGAAAAAAGAAAATCAACGTATTACCCTAGTCAAGCGAAACATCCAAGCGTATCCGCCAAGTTCTATTTCTATGCGACCATTTTTCTCAAAATCGACTTTGCTTGAGTCGGTCAAAAATCGAAAATATTTCAGAACCTCGCCCGAAACACTCCAAAATAAAAAATAAAAACCAAAATATTTATTGGAGCATCATTGAGCAGCAGTACCCCGAAGAGAAGGCTAGAAATGAAGGTAAGAGAAAAGATGATAATGCACCAAAACTATCAAATAAAGGCAAACTATAGAGTACAATGCACCGAGAATATGTTTAGAACACAACGAGAAAGGAAACAATATAACCGAGAAAAATGTGGCAAGAAACACAGGATATTACTCCTTAACTGTACAGAAGAAGGTACGAAAAAAGCCGGAAAAGACATAGAAATCTGTAAGAATCCTAGTAACTAAGTGTGCTTCAATTCCGTGCTAGGCATTGTGACTGGATTCCCAGCTTTTGTTAAAGGTCTCAAAGGTTCTATCGTTTGTGGTTCATCCGGATGAGAGTGTTCGTTCAGCCAGTAGCAATTCACTTCTCCTGAATAATAATGAATCCTCTAAATTTCTTTTTTCTGGATTTTCTATTCAATATTTTGCTGAGGCTTGAAAAAAGGAAGCTTTTTTTGCTTATAGATGAACTTCGCAAAAATAAATCGTGAATTAAACATATTTCTGATAAATCTTGAAGACTGCATTAAAGAGTCAGTTCATCACATCTATCATTATCAAAAAAACTTTTTTTCTAAGATGATAAAGTATTTTCAAAAAAATCTAGTGCAAATTTCTTTCATAACGAAAGGTTTTGGAATGAAATCCCCCTTTGGTAGGAAAAATTCGAGAATAAGCCTCTCACGCAAAAACGAGTTGCTTTTGGCTAAAGGATCAATTTATTACCTCAGATTCCCAGAGTGAAAAAAAGTTTCCGTTACTTTTTGATTTTTCCATCTTTTTTTCTCGATTAAAACAACTGAACTCAAATATTATGTATAATAAGCCAACCTTTTCCTTTAACATGAACAATTCCTCGCTTGACAAGTTCATAAGAATTTGTACTGAGTAAGAGTCTGGCCGTCTGTTCACTGGTCTGAATTTGATTTGGTGGACAATTCGATTGCATCCTGGAGGCAAAGTTCACCTGAAATACTTTAATTTCTGAAAGGTAATATGGTTCGAACTCACAGTATCACCGAATAAACAATAACGAGGCGATTTGATACCAATAACGCCTGCAGCGATGGGACCCGCGTGGAACCCGATTCTGACCCGTACCTAAAAGTAAAACTTTTTGGAAAGGAGTATCAAGGCAAATCTCACTTTATACTCAGGTAAATGATCAACAACGTAGGTATATGACACCTGAAACAGTAAAGATTTGTTAAAATTTAAACTTATAGTATATTAATCTTGGTTTGAAATAAAGTGGCCACAGATAATATCTCAAAGGTTATAAAAAGCATTTGGGATAGTGCGCTCGACCACAGAGCGACTTGCGCTTGCTGTAAATCTCCCATGTATTTCTCCCGCAAGTGTGAGACGGTTCAATGAAGTGTTTTAAACAAATAACAAAAAAAAAGTGAAGAAAAATGATAATTGCAATATTTTTGGTGGTATCAAAAAAAACTCAGCTATTTCAATTGCGACCAAAATGTTTCAAACCGTGGAAGATAAAGTATACCTCTCTAATTTCTAAACTAATTTCTGCGATTTCAAAAATATGCCGTCCTTCGTTCTCGTGAGGCACTCCGGACGCAACCATGTAGGTTTCTCCGGTTGTTTCGACCTGAAATTATTTTTCCTTAGCTTTGAATGAACTAAAAAAGAACCTTGTAAGCATCGTGGCCTTTGATAATCGTATCGAAGTGGTCGAAAATATCATTCAAAAAGTAGATGACCTATATGAAAATTGTTTATGAAGTTTTGTCAATACAGCTAACTTGATCCGGTGAACTTCGATGCAATAAAACGGAAAAATCACAAAGCTGGACGAAAAGGACTGTTACGGAGTCGTAACTTCTCGGTGGGACAACTCCTCCAGATTTCAGGATTTGAGCGATTGATCTGAAAAGATCGGATTTTACTTTCAAATTTTCAAACACAATCAACCAATTTTTGCAAAAAAACTTACTCAGGTAGCATCTCATTCAACAACTTCATCGTTTGCAGCTGAGCAATTTGCAACATTTCATTTCTTTCTCTTACTATCTGCTCCAAATTTGCGGCGTACTTCTCGTTCATCTTCATCATTTGATCCACTAAGTTGCCTTTCCTAAAGAGAAGCCTTTTTTTAATTGGAAAAATCCGCTTACGTTGGATAAACTATGCTGATTGTATCCAAGATGGTTTTGATTTTCGGTCTTTCCGATATTGTTCGACTCCAACATCTCTGTATGACTTCGATCAGTTTGTCTTCTTCTCCGTTCATTGTCACTGTCGGTTGCAAGTTGTTGTGCATGATGTCGCAGAGGAATGCTGAAATATTCTTTGAAAGAAATATCGTTGAAGAAGATTTCAAACAACATGAAAACCCAAGAAAAGGTCAGAGCTGTATTGAAATGTTATGAAAAAGGTGAACAGCTCAAGAAAATTCAACTTTTTTCTTCAAAAACGCTATTTCTGGAGATTTTAACTTTCTGTGACACTTGCAAAGTTTCGAGTAGCAAGATCTGATTTTTTTTTTCTAGACTTTTGCCTCACAAAGCTCAGTCAAATTTTGATTATTCCAGACATCTTCTGTTGAATCAAATTGCTTTATAGTGCCTTGGCACAAGTAAAACATTCTTCAATAGATTCTGCACGTTGCTCAACAAAAAAGCAGGCGAAACAGAAAAAAAAGGTCTCGAAGCGAAGTCTGGTCAACTTTGATCCAAAATGGTACACGGTCGTTCCGGCCAAAAAGAAACGCAACTTAGGCGGAATTTTTATGAATGTTGTTAATTTGAGACTAACCTGCGCCAGGTCTTTCAAAAGTTGTCTGTTGAAAAGGCTCCGTTCGGAACAACATCTGGTAGAGGATCATGCCCAAGCAGTACATGTCGCCTTCCAAACTTCCAGGCAACATTCTTGGCGGTTTTTTGCCTGTGTCATCGTATTCCTTCATGTGTTCCGGAGCGAACCAAGTGTACAGGGAGTAGGAAACTGCAATAAAATCATTATCGTCTACTCCAACTCAATGGGGTACGTATTTTAGCTCCCTGTTTAGATTTTAACATAGCTTTCTGAAGATTCTGAAGTGTACTTCAGGATTTTCTATTTCCCGATTTTGTTCTGGAATCAGAAGCCCCTGAAAGCCAGTTCAACAAAATTCCATCAAAAAATTAACCGGGGACCGAAAAAAACGCTCCCTCATATTTAACTCAAAGCTTATAGGTTTTCCAACTACCCTCAATCAACAGGTCCTCATTAAAAATGCACACTCGTTAACTAAAATCGTCGCTTCACGTCAGCCTTAGATTTTTGAGAATCACTCCGTTTCCTTAGTTACAAAATGATCCTCGACGTCCCTCATTATTTTGTGCACTTACCTAAAGGAGGTGCATGATCGGCTCCCTTGAGACATTCCTTCTTCATCAAGTCGCACAACATATTGCTCACGCCGAAGTTCGAGAGTTTCAGCACCCAATTTGTGTCAATTAGGCAAGTTTGAGTGCTGAGAAATCCGTGGTAACCAACTGGTGACTTGTGTAAGTAGGAGAGACCCTGAAAATTTGACAACTGAAAAATTAAAAAATTCAATTACTCTTAGAATGTCTCTCATAAAAGCTGATTTGAAGGTGTTGTCCATTTGAAAGTCAGAATCAAGGCAGAAGTCCTGAGATTTGCGGTTTTTTGTGAACTGAAGCTTTTGCTAACTTGCAAGCTCGCTCTATCGATAAGAACATGAAGAACGTAGAAATAATCGCCTTCGTTGCAGTTGATCCCGACGAACTTTGTGATATTGTCGTGTTGTAACTGTTTCAATTCGAATAAAGCTCTTAACTCGTCACTGAAATACACAAATGAATAAAATAGTAAAAAAAACACTTTTTAAGTCAGCCTTTAAAGTTTAAAGACTATGAGGGTCATTTAAGTTTAGATTCATATCTCAAAAAAAGCATTATTTTTTGCAAAAATGTTACAACTCAAATACAGATTAATAATCGATATTTTTCAGATGCACCCGACTCTCAACGACTTGCGCTTCTTCTCTCTCTTCAACGTTCTGCGGAGCGCTTTTCTTTTTTGGTCAACTTTTGGAAGCCATTCTCCATGCGGTCATGATGCAAGTACGTTGTTTGAAAATCGCCTAGTCTTCATCAAAAAAATCGTAAAATATTAAAAAATATGCAAAAAATAATTGCGTTTATCGCCTGTTGTTCTTTTTATTTCTCTTGTCATACGTCGGCTAGATCCCACCCCAGCCATTTCCTTTTTGGGAGGTAGGCCGCATTTTTGAAGGGGTAGGCCGCAGTTTGAGGGGGGGGCGGTAGGCCACACCCCGGAGTGGGATCCAGCCGACGTATGTCTCTTGTCTCATTCTGGACAAAAATTATTTGTTTTTTCTCCACCTACAGTGAAACACATGCTCGCACTAAGAAACGCTGAAAATTTCATAATTACAAAAAGGTCATTTTGGGCCCGACCAAAAACGGCTCTGAGAAAAAGCACAAGCTTCCGAGTTCGAAGTTTGAGCGCCCGTAAAGTCTTGAAAAATATTTCGCAGGACCCGGAGAGTTAAAAAACCTCAAGGGAATCGCAAAAGGTCGAGGTATCATGGCTCGATGAAACTTTCTACAGAGGCACTTTGGGACCACCTGAAGGAGTTGAAAAAATGTGTTTTTTGCGTTCTAGTCGAGTTACTACAGCTTAGATTTTGCACGCAAAATATGTGAGAGATGGGAAAGTCTTGCGGCGGCTGATCGATTTTGCAAGGAGGTAGCGTGGCGCAGTGGCTAGCGCCCTTGCGCTGTGGAGCCCATGATGTTGGTTCAACTCTTTTTGGTGAAAATTTTCTTGAAAAAGGAACGAAGTTTTAATAAGTGTGCGCAAATAACCGCAAAAACGTTAATATTCACAAAATTCTGTTGCTTACCAGCGAACGTCTATACCCTCGGTTGAACATTTGCTGAAACTTTGCTGAAGTGTACTTTAGGACTTTCTGATTGCAGATCAAAAAAAAAATTTCTCGCAATAGATTCAGTTTCGAGTTAGGACATTTCAAAGTGTTCAAAATACGCAAATTAGGCCAAAAAAGCGTTGTTTCGGGCTTTCGAAGTTCACTAACTCGAAAACAAGATCTATTGCAATAAATTTTTTTTTGTTCTGGAATCAGCGGGTCCTAAAGTACACTTCAGGAAAGTTTCAACAAAAGTTCAACCGGGGGTAAAAACGCCCCCTAGTTAGAAAAAAATTATCATTGAAGAAATAATTTTTTTCAATTTTATTAATGCTCATGAGACGCTGTTATTAAAAAGAAAGTCGAAATTTGATTTGATGTTTTTTTCAACAAAATTTTTGCGATAAAAAAAGAGCATAGCGTAAAGAAATTCACGAAAAAAACTTTTTGCCGAATAAAACTCTCGAAACGACAAATACTAGTAAATCTAAACACTTTGAGCGGTTGTTTGCGTTAAATCCTCAAAACTTCATAAAGTTCTTCAAGAAAAAAATTGACAAAAAAATTTCACCAAAAAGAGTTGAACCTACATCATGGGCTCCGCAGAGCAAGGGCGCTAGCCACTACACCACGCGCCTCCTTGTAACTGCCGTCAGCCGCCGCAAAGCATTCTTTTCATCCTTCTTGTGTAATTTCTGCGTGCAAAATTTGAACTTTTTATAATTCGAATAAATCGCAAAAGACAGTTTTTTCAACTTTTTTGAATTTGGGAGGTCATAAAGTACTCTTCACGAAGTTTCATCAAACTCTGATATCTCGACTTTTTTCATTTTCCGGATATATGAAAAGGAGCTTTTTTCTTGTTTTAAAAAAATCAGAAAAAGTGAGAACAAAAATAAAAAACAAAAAAAAAAGTAAAACTTTCATAAATCAAAAAAAAACCAACGAACTCGTTCCATTTGATCTTCTTCAATTGCCGGAAATGTATGAACTCCGCTTTGACAGATCCCAACAAGGCGTACGATCCAAATACTCTCCTTCTGGTAGCCAAAAGTTCCCTGGCCGATTTTCCAGATTCTGACGCCTTTTTATTCTCCAATTCTCTTTGCATCCTCTGAAGAACAAAATTTTCAAAGAAAGTGGATGCTTATTGTTACAGTGTCGGCGTTCTTGTTCACAATGATCTTCATGTCTTCTTTCGCTATTTTCCAGTTCATTCGGAACATATTGTTTCGCCGACGGCTAAAAATACATTTTTTGAAAGATACTTGACGAAAATCAAAAAAAAAGTGAAAAAAGTACTTCCTCGCGGCAATACAGATGATGGCGATTGCGATCGCGAGGCCAATAACGACGATTAGGGTGACGATGTGCGCTGAAAAATGCCCAATTTTATTCCTTGAAATTCATTTTTAATTATTTACGATTTGGAAAGTTATAACCTTTTGAAAAAGTTCGATTCAACTGTGTTCATTAATGACCGCGTCACATAGAGAAAGTTGAATGCGATACAAGCTTTCGCGAAAATTCAGTTCAAAAGTTCAAACTTCTTTCTGTTCAGTAAAATCAGTTTTCCATTGGGGCGCGCCGTAGCGCAACAGGTTGTGTGCCTGTCTACGGTCCACAGGGTCACAAGTTCTATTCGCGCCTCGGCTCAACCAAGGGGTTTGAGAAATGTTGGTAGCGGGAAACCACGACTTCATAATCCCCAGCCGTCACACACCAGGACGGAAATGTCACTAGAGCCAGTCCACTGACTATCACTGATCAGGATAGGACCTCGGCTGTTCGACTTTGTTCGAAGAGAAAATGACCAAAAACCACCAATGAAAGTCAAAATTTCCAGGTGGTCCTATCCTTATTCAACGGTCGAAAAACCGTTTTTTGGATGTCATTCTTGTGGGTAAAGTGCTAGGATAATGAAAATTTAGCTCTGGGGGTTATTTTGTACTCTGAATCGAATGGACCCACAGATTCTCAATATCTTTTCGTATTTTGCCAGACAGTCCAAAATCGAGGGGGTCCTATCCTTATTGAACGCAGTGTATTGCGCTGATAGTATCTGCCCGCCAACTAATTCCCAGCTGACTGTTCTACTTGAAAAACCCTACCGATGATTCACAAAAAAAATCTTCATCAGAAGAAACATCTATTTTTCTTCGTATTCCGATCGTCTGGAGACACTTAAACCAGCGATTTTTTTCCTTAGAAGAACAATCGCTTCATTGCTAACACTCCAAAGAGTTGTCTTGGGCATCTATAATTTTCCAAGCGCAGAAAAATACTTCAGAAGAACTCATTCGCCTCAACAGCCTCTTCGGCTTGTTCAGACGGTTTCTCATTTCTCGAACTTCTTCAGTTCAGTCATTCCAGTTTGGATTCGGCTCTGCTGTAAATATGACCTCAACATTTCGCCGACCAGATTTAGAAGGATCCTCGACTCGCTCGACAGCTACGAATTGTACGCAAACTTGCCGGCCAGACTTTTTTAGAAAATTTCTTCACTCAATCACTTTAATCTACGTGTATAGCTAGTCACGATAACTGTACTTGTCGAGGTGCTGCAAAAATCGGGTTTTACTTTATTGCATTCCCGTCAGTTTTATTTTTTTCATGCCATCTCTCAATTTATAAATGGCTATTTTTCCCTTTTTGAATAGAATAAATTTATTCGTCTACATGTAAGCTACACAGACGTTCAGAAGTTCCGATGTTTGAAGTTTATAATTTTTTTAATTTTTTTATCATTTTTTTCAATTTTTTTATTTCAATTTTATTTTTTTATTTTTTTATTTATTTCTCCTTTTTTTATATTATTTTGCTCCTTTCATTTCTTGTCAAATATATTTCCACCATAGCTTTTTTTAATTGTTTTTCCATCTCGACTCACGAATATAGTTTTTTTGCAGGTTCCAGTCACGACGCATTCTTCGATAATGAGGCCTTTGTGCTCATTCCAAAAGCCTTGGTCTGTTATTTGAGGTGTCTAAAAAAACAAGAGCATTATGACTAACTTCTTTTTTTTTGTAAATGCAAACCAGGGAATAACAAATGTTGTTTTCGCACTCCTTTGCTGCTAATGAGATGTTCATGACAACGTCGAATGACTCAGCTAAATAGTTAGGTTTAAATTTAGTAAAAAAATAATAATTCTAAAAAAATACTTTTGTTTTCGATGACTCAAAAACGTTTTTTTATATTTTTTTGAACTTGCGATAAAATATCATAGGAAAAAGGTTTGAATCTTTGAATTTACTTCAACTCTCCATGAAATTAAAGTTTCAGCATGCAAGGAACCTTTCGAAAACTGAAAGAAAAAATGTATTGGCTCAAAGTTAGTGAGAAATCAAAAAAGCAAATAAAATGCATGACTTGCTGTGAAAAATGATTCCTTCATGAAGTTTTATCAATTTCACTTTTTATTCTATTAGAACTCACTAACGAATTTCCACTATAAGTGAATTTAAGAGATTCTGTATCTTTTTCAAGCTAAAAACTCATTAATTTCGTTATTCCTTCTTTAAAAAAATTAAGTCGATGAAAAATTTGAGTAGGTCAAACATGAATGGTTTTTAAAGAAAATTACTAAACAAAAATCGAATTTTGAGGATGAAGATCATAGGATCGTAGCGCACAGGTTTTTTGCCTATCTACGGTCCACAGGGTCACAAGTTCGATCCCCTCGACCCAACCAAGGGATTTAAGAAATGTTGGTAGTAGGAACCACGACTTCAAAATCCCCAGCCGTCACACACAAGGACGGATATGTCACTAGAGCCAGTCTACTTATTATCATTGATATCAGAATAGGACCTCGACTGATCGACTTGAGGCGCCGACGCCGCTCAAGCGGTACAAAGGCCTAGGAAAAGAAGAAGAAGAAGACCATCAGTTTTCGATTGCATCCGACCAAAATCAGCTTGCGCGTAAAGATATTAAAAAGGGTTAAAGTTCTTCAAAAATTCCAAAAATAGCCTTACAATTTGCGTTTTTTTCATACTGGAAAATCAAGAACCGTTCTCTGGATCAGAGCTTGTTATAAAGTATGAATTGCAAGCTTTCTTACCAAATCGATTAGCCGAGGTATCCTGATCAGTGATAATCAGTGGACTGGCTGTAGTGACATTTCCGTTCTGGTGTGTGACGGCTGGTTGTTTTTCGAAATCGTGGTTTCCCACTACCAACATTTCTTAAACCCCTTGGTTGGGTCGAGGCGAGGATCGAACTTGTGACCCTGTGGACCGTAGACAGGCACACAACCTGTGCGCTACGCCGCGCCCCAGTAAAATGTCTCCCTTCCTCCGACCCATTTACTTTTGGCAGACAGTTTAACCACAAAGTTTCGAGTCTCCCCATTTTGTTTCGTTGCGTTTCAAGTCGTGGAAAATCAAGTTGCAGGTCGTAGAAAAACTTACTCATGGAGTCCACACAATAAACGCCATACAGAGATATCAAATTTCCAGCGGCGTCGAAGGAAAACTGTCCAAAAGGATCTGCAAACCGATTCCTCTCATTTTTGATAAAAAATTTTTCGTTAACACTAGTCAAAGACAAGAGCGCAGTCCGCAATTCGCCGTCAGGTGTAAGCGACGTGTATGCAGAGGAACCTTTTTTGCGTCATTTTCATGGGGCGCAATTTTTCTGAATTTTTTATCTTGCTAATGTTTTTTATTAGTTTTGAATGATAGTGAACTATCCTCCCCGACTTGAAAGGCAAGACGGGTAGACTGGCAAAGGTGACGCGTTTCGTACGGGCCGCGACTTTTAGCGAGAAACTGGAGGACACCGAATAAGTTTAGGAAAGAAAAGTTTTTTATCAAATTTATGTTTCAATCGTTCGAGTTAAGCGGGAAGTGCGAAAGGTCGAGGTATTGGAATTTGATTTAGAAAATTTGACTATGTTTATAGGTACCTTCGAACACTTTGAAACCAAAGAAATCGAAAAAAAAGTGAGCCTCTTTGGTTCTAGTCGAGTTATGGCGCCTCAAAGTTTGCACGCAAAAACCGCTTCGGATAGAAAGAGTGAATGTGTTGCGGCCGCCAACTAAAGCTGCCTGAAGGTAACACTAATAAAAATGGAAACGTGGTGTAGTGGCTAACGTCTTTGCGCTGTGGAACTTATTATGCAAGTTCGAATCGTTTTTGGTGCAAATTATTTTTGCCAATTTTTTTCTTGGAAAAAATGATGAAGTTTTACAGATGCGTTGAAAAAAAGCTCAAAGTTTTGAAATTCACCATTTTATGTCGTTTTGAGCAAGATTTTTGACAAAAAAAATTGTTCGTCTTGTATCTTTTTCGGACTCAGTGGACTTCTCGAATGCTGAGCAGGGTTACCCAGCCGTGCTAAGACGGGGTCTCAGCGGGTGCCCCCGTATTAAACCCGTATCAGTCCAGCTGATAGAACTTTTGGCAATTTTCAGCCTAACTGAGACCCTGCTTTGGCCCAGCTGGGTCACATATTTTTCTCACACCCGTTGTTCCCCCGTTCTAGCTCAAATGACTAGTGAGACAAAAATAACCTCAGAAACACGGGTTTATTACGGGTACACCCGCTGAGACACCTGCTCAGCATGCGAGTTCAATAAAAAGTAAGAATGTTTTCATCAAAAATTTTTTTCTCGGGAAATAAGTAAGTAAAAGATAATGCATACAAATTTTTAAACTTTTCATTCATTAAACTTTTCTCAAGAAAAGAGTCTACTACACATGGAACAAAAAAATTTTTGTCAAAAATATTGCTCGAAACGACATAAAATGGTGAATTTCAACATTCGAGTGTTTTTACTTCAATATCTTCTTCAACTTCATAATTTTTTCCGAGAAAAAATTGACAAAAATAAATTTCTCCGGATCCAAACCTGCATCATAGGTTCCACTTCACCACGCCGCCTGCTGGTAGCTAGAGTTAACCGCCGCAACAAATTTCCTCCTTCCATCCAATGCGTTTTTTGCGTGCAAACTTTGAAGCGCCATAACACGACTAGAATCAAAAAGGCGCACTTTTTTTTCGATTTGTTTGGTTTCAAAGTGTTCGAAAGTACCTATAAACCAAGTTTCATCAAATTCCAATACTTCGACTTTTCCTACTTTCCGTGTAAGTTTTTTGAAACGGAGAATAAGTTATTGAAAAACCATCAAACAGGAGAAACGCATCAAAAAAAGTGGCTCGTTTTTAAATTTTTTTTTTTTTGATAGCCGCGTCGCGTGGTCAACGCGTCTCCCTCACCAATCTACCTATTTTCTTTCAAATCTCGAAGAGCTCACTATACTTCAATATTTCTGAACACTCATAAAAATGAAAAATCAAATAAAAGCACCAAATGGATATGACACAAAAGAATATGGCGTCTGCATACAGCTCGCTTACACACGACGGCGAATCGCGGACCAGTTTCAAATTTTAATGGCGCTCATGGAATAAGCGGTCTTGTTCTAATTCAGCAAACTCACTTGTAATTTGCTTATTTGCTATGTATTCTAAATAATTATCTGATAGACCCGTCGCTCCAGCCGTAGTTCCAAAACAATATGTATAACAAGCATTGTACAACGTGAGAGTATCCGTAAATAACGTCTGAAAAAATAGATGAAAAAAAGAGACTCCGTAAAAAACCCACTTCTTCGAAAAACGGAAAGGTTTCTTTCAATTTGTCATTGACTTCTGAGAAAAAAGGCATTTGAACACCCAACTGAAAAAAACTAAAATCAACATGATTCTCCTGTTTCAAACTCACAATTAAAGCATTTACACCGTATAGAAACTTGCGCATCTCTGTAGCACCAAGGACACCCTGAAAAAATACTTTTTCATTGGAAAACGTGAAAATATACCTGCGGCGGACCGGGAGTCAATATTAAAATAATAAATTTATAGGAAGCAAGGCCACGAATATCCATCTGATAATAGGCGTCGTAAGGATTTGAGAAATCTGTTGAGAAACCAATAACTGAAAAAAGCCTCTTCATGATTGCTCCAGGGGTTTTTTTCACGTTGAGTTGATGTTTGTAACCGAGCGATGACGTCATTCCAGTCGACTTCGTCTTCATCAATCAATATCGTTTCATTGATGGTGATTTGTTGGGTTTTCTAAAGTTAAACCGAAATTATTTTTGAAGTTATTGTGAATAAAGTACACTGTTATATTGTTCAATCGCTTTGACGAAAGATGAATGTCGAGGATCGGTTAATAAAGGTCCGACCAAAGTTATCTGAAAAGTTCTTTTAATGAAAATTGGCGGAAAAGAAAAACGGTATCTCTGATTTCAGATAGAAAAAGATTATTTTACACTTCAGCCAATTTTTCGAGTTGTGGTCCCTGAGGACTACGCTTCATTATAATCATGGTATATCGTAGAGATTTCAAAGTTCCGTTACTCGAACTGAAGCCAGAAATGAGATCAGAAAAGTATAAAGCTCATTTTTGAAGAACCTTTAACTTTAGGGTTCTTAAAGATGAGAAAAAAAAAGAGTTGATCTAAAACGTAGGGAAAATATTTTCTTTGCTTGGAATCCCATAATAGTTTTCCATGTTTTTCTCCCATCTCCCAGCAATATTCTCACGCAAAGTATGAAAAACCATGATAAAGGTGTTTAGAAAAAAATGTAAACGGACAATGAAATCGATAAAATGACCTACGATTACCTAAAAAAAGATACGAAAAAACGACTTTTTTTTATCATTTAATGAGAAATTCAATTTTTTCTGGAACTTCCAGAAGTTGATATCCGTGTTGTGTGTTACACCAGGGTGGAACTTCAACTCGTAGAAAGAAAAAAAAAGCAGCTGAGTTCCAGAAAGTTCAAGAAATTTTGAGCTTCAAACAAGAAAGTAATAAGCAAAAAATTAATTTTTGCATTTTTTCTGATGGTACTGTACTTTTTCTTGGTTCAACTCGAGCATGATTGTCGCAAGGCTGGAAAGAATAGCTGAAATGGAAGTCATGGCGACGTTGACCACCAGTGGAGCATTCTGCAATTTTTTTATTTCTTGGATTTTTCTTCAATTATTTGTTGATAACCTAATGTATTTCACAATGAAGCATTTTCAAATTCCTTGAAATTTCAAGGGATATCTGCGTTCAAATTAAATAATGATGCTCCAAAATTAGTGCATCGTCAAATTTTTAGGGAAGAAAAAAACTTTCAACGTTTCCGAGCATTTTGATTTGATCAAAAAAAAAACGCTGGTAAAAATAAATTTCAATAAATTCACACCCGACCACCGAAACAAAGTTCATCGGTGATTTTCAGTCATTTTTTCCCAATCTTACTTCTGAATTTAATATAGTCGGACTCATAATGGCTTGGCCAATGATCGGAGTCCTCCAGAAGCGGGCCATTCTTCCGATTCCTTCCAACTCCCAGGGACAACTCGGCCCGATGAAAGCTACCGCCTGTAAAAATCAATTTGAAATTGTTCGCATTGAAATAAGAAAGGATTGATGTTGGCTACACTACAGTTGGATCAAACTCGGAAAACCACTTGGTCATTCGAAGAAAGGTTGAAGGCGGCGATGAGCCCAAAGGTGTCGGATGTGCCATGGCAGCTATCCGATCTGATCAGTCTAAAATTGGATGTTTATTAGACTGATCAACTTATATTTTGATCTTGAAAAAAAGCTTAATATATAGTAAAAACGTTTTAGTCATACCAATCGCTCGCTATGTCGAATCACTGTTTCAAAAAAATTGAAATTGTTTTTGTCATTTTTACTAATTATCCACTTGATGAGGCATTCAGAAGTTGAAACTATTCAGAAAAGTTTTAATAGCGATCTTCAAACTGTCAAATCTCCAAAAAAACGGATAAAAATCTGAATACCCGGCTGACAAATTTGGCTCGAATAGTTTACTAGAGTGTTTGAAGCAGCAGAAGCGATTTCCATCGAATTTTTCAAGCAGATAATGTTTTCCTCTATTTTTGAGAAAATCAGTGTTTTGTAACTCTAAACTATTAATCAAGATCCACGAATGAAATAAACAATTTCGAAAATCTTCTTTTGTTTGCAAAATACGCCGTTTTTTGAACTCACAAGGAAGGTCATTTTTTTTGTGAAGTTGAAACTTTCTACGAAAATTCATGTCAAAAAATTTTATGAACGTTCATAGCTGAAATTCCAAAATCGCCATTCTGGAATAATCGCGGTCATGATTTTTCGAGTTTAGCTTTCAGGAAAAAAAAATCCTCCGAGAAAATTTTGGCAATTAAAAATGTGTTCCTCTTAAACTATAGCCTGTTCACGACTGGCTTGAGACGACAAACGAGCGGTTTAATATTAGTGGCAAAGGTAGAGCAATGGTAGACTACCTATGCGCTTTCATAAAAGCTCCAATTTATGACGTATTCATTTTTCTCTTGTGTTTAGTCGCTTTAAAAAACCAGAAATCCAAAAACTCAATTCAATTGGAACAGAAATAATTCACAAAATGAGACTTTAGTTAAAGGCGCATGTTGAGCCGCCATGATCTACCATCGGCGCGCAAGTTGAACCTGTTGTCCCAAGCCAGCCGTGAACGGGCTATAGAAGTTTGTTTCTAGGTAGCGATGTTGAGAACTTCAATGTGAGTCTTCACAAGGGAGGTCATTTCAAGTTGCGCTTGTGAAATTCTGGAAAATTAGCCATGTAACTGTTTGATGTTCAGAAAACGATCCAGAAAGTCTCAACCCAACAACCTAGTTATCGAGAAATAATATCAAATCTCCAAAATGGCCTTTTTCCACGGTTGTAAGGGTATTTGTTGATTTTAAAGTGTTTTTTCTAAGAAACTAGAAAGTTGTACGTGGTGAGACTTTCAGGACCTTTTTATGGTACGTCAAAGAATATTCTGGCTAATTTTCAGGGCATTTCCAACTCCAAAGTGAAAAGACCTTCCTTGTTGTAGATTTTCAAAGTGAAATTCAAAACATTCTGTTTTTATTCTCAAAATCCCTTGAAAACGGGTTTCCTTTCAAGTTGGTCGTAGACGCATAGAAAAAAGGTGAAAAGCTGCTTACTATAGAAATATTTATGGTCTATTAGATAATCTTTAAAAAAAGGCCAGTCTAAATTAAACGTTTGAGCGCGCAAAGCTGCATCAAAACAATGGGTAATGACGTCCCCATTCACGCATCGTCCATTCAAACACCTCAGAATGAATTCCTGATGAGGCTAGGTTAGAGAGAAATTCTAAACCCTCACTCAATGAATTGAGAGGTACAGTGTCCGCTGTTGCGAGCTTGATCGATCGCCTTCTCGCAAATGTTGATGGACAAAGGCCAACTGTCAAGCAAGCCTATCTGGATACCGTAGGACTTCGCGGCGTACTGTATGAGCAGGAAGAGCGCGAAATGCAGCAGCTCGTGCATGCGACGGTCGACAGAACGCATTGGAACGTGGTCGAAGATGTTAAGGAGGCCGCGCCTTCAGGTGAAATCGATAATTGTGGCCTGAGTTGGGTCGACGTCTTCTTTCTCACCGTCGAGATCGCTCATCATGCCTCGCCACTGAAGATTATCTCTAAATGAATGCTCTTTACATTTCTCACCAACTGCACATTAAGCGGTCTTGTGTTGTTAGATTATCTCCCCGTTTTCAACGGACAATTAACGTTGAGTGGCCGGGTGATTATGAAAAAGGAGGTTTTCCCGCGCGCGCGAAAGGAAGTTATACGAATAGGCTGTAATCACACGTTGAGCATCAACAATGCCCCTCGGGGTAGATTACAAGATAACAGAAGCTTTAAGGGAAGAAAGGGCGTGGGAGGTTTCAATAGAAAATAACTTCAAGAATTACAAAAGGTAAGCGGGTGATGAAACTTTCGATATTATCTTTGAAGGAAGGCTTTCTAAATCTTTCGAAAGAGCGAATATTCGTGATAAGCTTCATAGAGATCGAGAAGTTCAACAGCTTTCATAGCTAATAATGAAGTGAAAGATTTTTGATAGGTATTGAAGAAAAAAAATTCAAACGAATGCTGAATTTTATAAGACTCTGACCTGACCGCATTGATTTTTTTAGAGCTTTTAAAGATTTTTTTGAAAAACCCTTAAAGATGAAATCTTTTTGATTTTCGAAAAAAATCAAAAAAATTATAGATCAAATAACATTTTATTTTTTTCTTGAAAAGTCTGAAAGTAGCAAAAATAGGCAAAAACCGCCTAAACTTTCTAATTATCCACAAAGTAAAGTTGAACTTAGGGAAAACTACAGATACATTTCAAACTAGGTAAGCACAATTTTTTACATTTTTTTCTTTGATTTTCCTCATCTTTATTTTTTTTTCATTTTTCGAAAACTCTCCAACTTCAAGAATACTTAAGGAAAGCCGAACAACTTTCTCTGATTTTTTGTTCAATCTTTGAATGATTTTTGTGCCTTTCAGACGATTGTAACACGGCTGTTGCAAACGGAAGTGTCAAAAGAAGTAGCGCCTATTTCTGTCTTGCTTTTTCCTCCTGTCAGATTTTCAAAAGCGAAGGTCTGGCTGGGTGAAGCTTGAACTTTTGGATCATGACATTCATCGAAAAAAATCCTTAAATAATTATTAATTACGTACTCAGTTATTATAGAGTTGTTGTCACGCTGCCTGAAAAACCAGAAATATATTTTCATAAAAATTCAACCGACATTTTTTTAATATATTTGAACTTTCTAACAAAGATATCGAATCTATCTTCAATTTCAGCCACACTGGCTCGGAAAAATGAGAGAAAAATCAATCATTATTCTTGATTTTTTTTCAAATTTTGAAAATGAATAAATCTCAAGTTTGGTCAGTTTTATAATCTTGAAGTGACTTCTTGAAATTTTCCGATTCATAGACCATGTGAAAATGTGGTTTTAATATGACTGTGTAGGCGTTGGAAGATTTCGAATTCTCTCAGCTGGAATAATTGTATGTAGAAAATTTTCATTTCTACCGCGGAAAGAACATTATTTCAATAGTTTATCCATCCGAAAAGTACAGAAAACTTAGAAAAGTCCCTTGCCCAAGTTGATGATTCACTTTAAAAAGTGCCCTTCCCACGCAGAATGGTTATTTCTTCTCGCAATTATTTTTGAAACTCAGTTGAGAGATAAAAAAGCCAAAACTTCGGGTTCAGAAATCTTTTTTTATAGGAGTTGTGACTTAGGCCTTATGAAAAAAATTTGACTTGAATATTGGAAGTAATTTTGAGGGGCCTTTCAACTTTACTAGAAAAAAACTTTAGGAAAAATAATATTTATCCAAGTTCAACCAAATAACATGTGTGATTGACGCCTTATTGCTGTGCGATACCGTTGATTATGCTAAGAACAACACATTGGGGACAAAGAAAAGTCAACACCGGGGATACAAGAATAATTTACAGCTATATGTATGTGATATTGAAGGAAAAAGTCAGATAAAATTTGAAAAATAAATTGGAATGGTTGGGTTTTTGATCCGTAGGATAGAAACAAAGAAATAAAAGCAAAGGAAAAGACAGCCAATGGACATGAAAGCGAAGCTTCAAATATGCTTAGGTGGTGAATATGAAGGTGATTAACCCGAAAGTATCACTATTTAGGTGGCTGGAGCTGCGGAAGGAACGGAAATCAAAAGCGTGTGATAGAGGGCCTGGACTCGTCATCAACGGGAAATAGGGCCAACGGCTCGATTGGTTCAAAAAAAGGTGTATTTCCATGAATAAGTGTTGATAGAGGATAGGAAAGATGTGCAGATATTTTGGTGGTTGCAATTTGTTTCATTCGAAGATTGGTCGACGACGGAGAGCGTTAGGAGCGCTCACGGGGCTTTCTGGAATATACTTGTTTGAGAATCTTGAATTTTAGTAGGAAATCAGAGAATTCCGGTTTTTCATTCAACTTTTTTTTGATTCAGGAAAGTTTTCGAGCTGAAACAAGCTGCACTCGATAACTTGGAACGCTGATTCAAGTCGTAAAAAATTTGATAAAACTACTTACAACATTTTTTTAAAAATCAAACTAGCACAAAAAGTTACTATGCATACAGGAATCTTGTCCCTGTTGAAAAAAATGACTTAATTTTTATGAAAGCCATTATCGATTTTATTTTCGGTCATAAAACGCTCCAGCTCTATTAAAAATCGAGCAAATTTGTTTGACCAACTCTACAGTTTAAGGTTTAATTTCAAAGACTGTATTTTCTGTTCTTGAAACTCCGGATTTTTGTCAGGATTGCATCAAAAAGAACTCTTTCTAGTCCATTATTCCTAATCCGAGTATTCAAACCTGATTCCAATTTGCAGCTGACTCAAGACAAGTTGAACTTTCTCACCTCGGCTGCGGTTCAACGACGTCGAAGACCCGGACATGGAGTTCGACACATTTGCCGCATACATCGAGATGCTTCTCATAGTGGCGACTGGAGCATTTGCGACCGTATCGACGGTATTCATCCCGCCGTTCTCCAAGCCCTAAAATTGATTTTTCTCAAATCAATGGTTTTTTTTCGAGAACTTTCTTGTTTGAATTTTCCTGAAACTCACATCTTCTTCTTTGGAATCGATGGTATTCTGATGTTTGAGCTGTCTTCTGGAGCTCATTCGATGTCTCCGAAGAGCCGTGTAGTAACCATCACGGACGGCCGAGAACATCATGGTGACTAAAGACGACCAAGCCGAGACCGTGTCGGCAGGCTGAAATCAAGCACTTTATGTATTTATTCGTCTTTAATGTTTCAAACAGATTTGTGAAGCTTCAAAGAGACGATCAAAACTTCTTGAGGATATGAAACGCTTTTTTTCGGAGTAATTGAGCCGTAGCATGAGTCATCATAACTGCGGAGTTTTATTTTTGACTTAGAAATTTTTTCACGAACTTTCCAGATTTTACCAATCCAAAAAAGCTAGTTGACACAAAATCCAAATTTTGCCATAAATTCCTGTCTCATTGGCTTAGTTTATTGCGGAATATTTTCAAAAGAACCTGATGGCTAGCCATGTCCAAGATGACGCCTTCCAAAGTCATGGCATCTGCAATCGCGACCCAGAAATCTGGCTTGAAGCCGTACTGCTTGAGCTCAACGTGATCTTCTCCATATTGCCTTGAAAGTCTGTCGATGACCTCAGGATCGTGGATCTGAAAAACTTCCTCAATGAGTCATTACATCCTTTGCAAAATCTCATTCACTTAAGGAAGTGATATGAATCCAAAAAAATCACAAGGAAGTGAGTATGAGATCAAAAAAAAAGGAAATGAGAAACTATAAAGCATACCAAAAAAAAAATAATTTTTTCTTTGAAAATCATTTCCCATGACTTTTTTCACTTTGCTCTTAATGATACTGAGAATCGGACCAACGGAAGAAAAAAACTGAGCACATGTGTCTTGGTTTAAAATTAGTTCTATGCACACAGAAATCAATCAAGGCTTGTTGCACATTGAGAGAGAAAGTTTTGTTTTCCTCTTTTTCGCGTTGGAGCTCGAGAATTACCTTCGCCACGACTTCTTCGATGAGTTCCTTCAGTCGGATGTTGACCGACGAAGATTTCTCTTTGCCTAACTGCATGATGAACTTCTGGTAGTCCAGTCTTTTCTCGAATATCCGTTGGAGGACCTGGAATTAATGATTTTTGTAGTGACTTCGAAAAAAACTAGACTGAGAATCATACTTTTATATGTTTTCCTGAATCTCTTTTCATCAGAGCAAGATCAAGTTTCATAATAATTCTGATGTAAAAAATACAGTTAAATTAGTTTGAACTCGAAAACAATAGGAAAAGATGGGATTAAAGCCTTCAATTTTGAACGTAAATCTCTCATTTCGATGTCACCGCGCGCAAGTTGTTTGAGGTCGGGCGCGTAGCTCTTTTAATGGTAGAGAAAATGGCAAAGACTCGAAAAAGATTGTTACAGATGGGGTGAATAAGAAAATGGGTCAATGAAAAACTGAAATTTGCGTAAAAGTTAAATAATCTCAGTTCTTATTGAATTTAAATCTAAAAATTAGATTTTTTTTTCAACAGTGCACAGTGCGATAGACTTTCATATTAGTCCTATTTTTAAATCTCACTTTCAACCTCGGAAACTTATTATCACATTCTATATACTTAATCTGTCTATTCAGACTTTTCGGGATCCCCATTCTTTGACCCCAATCTTGGGAACCCAAAACAAAAGAAACATCAGTGATCTATCATGTACTGATCTATCAGTGCAAGTTCCTTGTCTTGACCGAGACGTCTCTTGGATTTCCCTCAAAATCCACGCGAACTACCCGATTCTTTCGGACGGCTTTTATTTTTGTTCTTTCCTGAACGACAGCTGACGCACTGACGACCGGATGTAAATACGCACAAAAAAAACTTTTCATTTCTAGGTAATGAGAAGAAAAAGCTCTGTAGGCGTAGGAAATGATGGATTAGTAAAAAACATAAATAGATTTTTTCCAGTATCCCCTCTTTTAATTTGTTCAACTGTTTTTGTTATAAAATCAAAAGTTTCATCTCAGATTGATCTTATCACTATTCCGATCTAAAATCGTTGATTCTGAAAGATTGAGAGCTTGCAAAGATTTTTTCCCTAGTTCCATGAAAGGAAGCTGCAGGACTCTGACCATTCTGTTCTCGGAGTTTTCTTTAAAATCAGAGCTTCTCATTTTTCAGACATCGAACTTTTCTAAAGATGTAAAAACATCAACGCCTACAAGAAATGAAAACTTCCAATCCTCCAAATTACATCTTTGAGCTCTAAAAACTCTAGCGAGATAAAAAAAAAGTTCGATCGAGTGGGGCAACTGTCAGATCAACAGACGACTGAACATCTCATCAATTGAACACACTTGCGTCACACCAGGTAAACGCTCCGAGAAAACAATTTAACAAAATGTTATTGGTGCCTGGTTGGCAGCGATAATGTTTATGGCCTTTGACACTTATTTATGAGCTTGGATCACTGGAAATGAGTCAAGAATCAGGATTGGAAATTCTGAAACTCCATTGGAGTTTAAAAATTTGGAAAACTGGAAATTTCGTGACTTTTTTCTCACTGAAAAAATTGTTAATGACCTTCCAGAGCAAGGAAAATCCTTCAAAAGACTACACCAATCAAAATCAATCAAAAAAACCATGAAGTTCAACGACACGGCTTCTGATTATTTGTCTATCTTTCAGTGTCTATACTTGATTATTTGCAGTGAAGGCTTCGATTTGCCCAATTTTCAAATTGATATCTTCTATACTTTTCTCAAAATTGAACCTAAAAATTTTCTATTTCATTCAACATGTTTCTTCACTCCGATGGATTATACAAACCTTGTTGGCGAACTCGGAATGCGGATTATCGAAGCATTGTGTGATGATTTCGCGCGCTTGGCCCGTGATTGGATGTGAGATTTCTTTTCTCATCGACTTCTGTCTAGCGACGTTGTTCACTGGTCTGAAAGAAAACCATTACTTCAGGTTCAAAATCTGGAGACTTCAAGTTCTAAATATCGACGTTCCATTTACTAAAATTTAAAATATTGAAAATGAATGGAAAAACGAACGTGGTTTTGGCGTCCCGAGCACTTTTTGGTCGCTCTTTCTCCTTGATACTGGTGATACTTTTCTGGCGCGCACTTGCTGGAGGCTGACCTCGGGTTCCCATATCCATCATGCTCTTGCTCTTGTTGAAGTCCTGGTAGATTTATATGTGATTCTTGAAAAACATCCAGGAACTTTTTAGTTGTTTAACCTCATTTCTGACCAGAATTTTCGGAAAGATATTTCGAAACTTATTGGAATACAGTTTTGAATGACCTTTACTGAGATTGCGCGAGAATTTCAATTTTTTCGGTGTTTCTACGAATGTTTAAATTTGAGATGAATTCCTTCAAAACTAAAAAATTTTGCTTTATATCAATGAATAAATCATAGAATATTCAATTTTACGATCAAACTTTCTCTGGGAACTTCTGAAAAATCTTCCCTAAATCTATAATTTTCTTTCAAAACATTGCCACCATAAGCGAAAACTCCTAAACATAACAAATTCTTGTTTTTTCACAGCTTTCGACACTTGAAATGGGCCGCACATAACGACTGAATGCTCACCCTGGCTGAGTGCGGCTTATCACGGAAATCCATGGAATCCGACTTTTGGCGCACCTTGGACGATGAGCTCCCAGAGTTTCCCATCCTGCTCAAAAAAAATTGCGTCAAAAATCTGAGAAACTTGGAAAAACGAGCGAAAAATAAACGCGATGTGAAGTAAAAATAGTCAAGAGTGAGAAGAAAAAAAAATCAGATTGGGGTTTTGATGCGACAAGATCATAAAAGAAGCGTGATGACGTCAAAACTTAGAGGAGCCTGGCCGTCGGAGCTATTGTCGGGAAGCCCCTGAGGACACGAGGGATGGGAAAATCAGTAGCTCAAACGTCTTGGTTTCAATTTGCTTCGACTCGGCCACGATTCATGTTTCTCGCCATCGAATCCTGCCGATGGCACGTCGTTAATCACGTTTTGGCTCCTTTATGTGTTTAGAACCTTTGGGCGCTTGGAATAGATGGCCTAAATGGATTCAAAAAAATCTGAGAAATAACACGACTAGACTATTTTGATGGGATTTAAGCTTCACTGTTCTTTGACTTAGGCTTCTGGCTGATCTTTAGAAGTGAAAATTTATGAATTTAAGTTTTTTTTGAACTATTAGTCAACTTCTGAGTGCTCTGAAAAACTCTCCGGCGCTGATATTAGACAGCAAAGCCTAATAAAGATCGAAAAAGATAATCGGAAAAAAACATTGTTTATATTTTTTTCTGAGGGGGAGCAGGAATGACAAGGATAGTCTACTTCAGGAAAGAAAAATCCAAAAAAACACAGATCCTTTGAGATAGTAGAACTCGAAGGCAATGAACGAGGAAAGCGAAAAAGTTTTGAAAAATTCTCAGACCTTGGATAAAGCCACGCCTCTCACCTAACGTCTTTCTCATCACGTTCTTCATACTTCCCAAAAAAAACCAAGTTCAATTGAAATTCATCTAAAAAAGATATTGGATAGACAAATGTTATTATTCAAAGAATGCTCAGGGATCAGCGGAACAATACGATTGAGTTCGTAAATTTTTCACTCTCATATTTTTTTGTTTTTTTGAGCTTTGACTTTACTTGAAAAAAACTGTGAAAACGACAGGGGCGAAGAAAAAAATAGAAAAAAAGAAAGTAAATCCTGAAGAAAAAAAGATTATTCAGATTTCGACCTGTTATTTGTATTTGATTTTTCCGACTTGATTTCAATTCGAAAATTCAGGCAAAAGCAGCATTAATTCTACAAAATAAAGATAGACATCATGGTTTTTTCAGGCCACCGGGTTCAAAAACCGCAAAGAACAGAATGATCCAAAGAGAATGGGAAATCCTTGAGACCACCTCAAAGAAAAACAAAGCCACGCCTTTTCCCATACCTTTTTTGTCCGGAAGTTTCAACTTTTGTTTTTCTGAGGTACACTTAGGGGGCGCAAAGCCCCGCCCCTTCACGCCACCAAAATGACGATTTTTTTGTTGCAAAAACGGTTTTGAGGCGTTTATACTAGCTAAAGTCCCACTTTAAAAATTAACTGTTTCTGTTAATTTATGTAATCGACAACGCTCTACAAGACTGAATATTTTTAAAACTATGTATTTTTCAAAAATAAGCGAAAAAGTAAGATTTAACACGAAAAAAACTGACAAGTTTCACAAAATCGTCGCGTTTCAGAAAACCAAGTGAGGAACGCTTCTAAATTTTAAGTATGTTATACATTAACACTTTCTTTATTTTTTGAGTGAAAATGAAAAAAATCTACCGACGCGAAAAAAATATTAAAGCTTGTAAAGTGACACCAAACTTTGAAGCTGAAATGCGAAAAAATTTCAGCGACATGGTATACTTTTTATTTGATTTAAAAACTAACAGTGTGTCCAAAAATATAAAAAAATTCAAAATGAAAACAATTATTGGGACAGCGAATCAAGTTATATTTGAGTTTTACCAAAACCTCCATTTTTCGCCTGCCTCGTTGACGCATGAGAGAATAGGATCGCGTCTATATTTTCGATTATGTTATTAAGCGTTCAAAAACTCTATCAATGAAAAAAATTATGAAAAAAATCGATCGACGCGAAAAAAATAACGGCTTTGAAAAACCTCGAAAAAAATGGCAATTTTTTTGAAATTTCGGAAGATTTCGTGCAAGTGTCCGTAGCAGTGTTTGCGTCAAACACGCCGAAGCGCCCTTTTAAATGTCGCAGGAGCCGTTTTTCGTAGTCAAATTGCACTTTTTCCTGTTTTATTTCGAAATAACATTATTTTTCATTTTTTCTTTTTCCCAAATCAAATGATAATAATTTTTCTAAGTAGAAAAAAGAAAAATAAGCTGAAAAATCCCTTTGACCTTTTTTTCTAGGTAGTTTTTTTGATATTTTATCAAAAAAATTCTTATGAGGATTGTACAAAAGATTCATACCAAAACATGAGGCTCAGTTCGGACAATCTCACAGAGCAGAAAAACCGATTCAAAAAAACGGTCCAGAAACGCGCAAAAAAACATTTAAAAAGAAAGCGTGCGGCAGCGGGTAAACCGTGAGATTTTTGCCTCCAGTTGTACGCCGCGCGCGCTCGTTTTTTTGGCCATAACTTTTTTTCTTAGTGGAGCTTTTTTTCAAAAAAACTAAACGGATTATGAAATTGGACAGTCTCCTCTATCAAAAAAATGTGAAAAAAACATATTTTTTTTGAATCGTTCTGAAGAAATGGCTTGCGGACCCTAGGTACACTTCCAACATTTGGTGGTTGAGTAATCAGAGAAAATTCATAAAAAAGGCAGAATTAAACTTTAATTGTATCATTATCTTGACACGAAAAAAAGATTTTGACAACTTAAATTTTTTTCAAAATGTGAAGTAAATAAAGCTTAAAGGTTCAGGAAAACGGCTTTTAGTTCCTCATAGTTCATTTTATATCATATGAAAACTAAACGAGTCAGTGTCAATTTCCTAATTTGGTATCTGAGACGAGACATCTGAGAATCCAAAATTTTAACACTCATCCTTGTTTTTCAGAATAAAAAGCCGGAAGCATAGTAATAAAGAAAACAATTTCCGCACAAAAAAAAAGAAACAGGAAATTCACTTAACTCTAAGGTTTCTGAATGACGGATATTAATGTACTTCTGAGGGCGTAGTCTCCATGGCTTCTGGAGGCGATGATGTAATCAAAAAACGTTTCATTAAATGATTTGAGAAATTTCTTAGCTATCCAATCAATTCGAAATTAAAAATCAAACTAAGGGATCAAAAGTTTGAAAGTTTAGGTTCTGCTATTTTACGCTAGACTGAACTTCCGCTCAAAACTGCCCTCTTAGTTTAATAAGAGAACAACTTTGCTTTTCAAACGAGACGTATGCTTTACCTAGAACTCTTTTCAAGCGAATCATAGCAATCAAGAGATGCCAAATATTCAAAAAACCGTGAGATTTTACCACCCAACCTTTTTTGCTCATGAGTAACTGATTTTGACGAACGGCTGAACGAAAAACTGGAAAAGTGTCTTTTTAGCCTTCTTCGTTATGACGACATGTTCCCAAGAGAAGCATCAAAGAAGAAGATAAAAATGGCGATTGAATGGAAAAAACGTATGAGATTGAATAGTTGAAGAAGAATTTACGAGTACTTCGGCCAAAAACTGAGCTCGTGGGAACTTTTGAAGAAAAAAAAAAGTGTCCGAAGAGTCTTCGCAACCTTTTTGATTCATGAAAAATGTAAAAAGATCACAGTAAGCCTGCGAAAAAAGTTCGCGCGGAAAAGTTCCCTTCAGAATCAGCTCAAGAATTCTGAAACAATTTCCCGCTTCTGGGCACCCAAGCGCGTCGAACACGAGGAAACAATTATACGCATTATTTCGAGCTGGGTCAGACGGGTGTGAGGAGTTTAAGGACTCCAAAATGTTCAGGTTTTTGTTTTTTTTTGTTCAGAGACCGCAAACTTGTGAGAAAATATTGAAGTGGAGATATTCTAAGATTTAGAGGCTAATTTTATTGTTTCAAGAGTATAGCGTTGCCCAGGAGGTTCACAAACGAAAATTTTTAAAATTTATCAATCCATTTGCCGTTTCACGAAATGAGCCAATTTTCATAAAATTTTAGTTTCTGCCGAAAAAGTTGAGCTTGAAAAAAAGAAAAAGAGTTTTGATTAGAAGCTATGTAAATATAGAGAAAAATAACTTTACATTGGTTCACAAGAAGTAATAAAAATACCCCATTAAACTGAGAATAGTTCAAAAGTCCAAAATACCATAGTACGACCACCTATCCAACAAAATTGCCAAACAAAGAGCGAAAAGGCCAAGAAAACAATCGAAACTTCTGAGGTAGGGGTGCGATGTTGACCGAAGAGCCTCAAGGGACCTGCTTCCGGAAGTAGAAAACAGTGGCGACACCCATTCCAAACAAGGCATCAAAACGTTTCTTCTGACGGCTTGTCTACTATCAGACATTCGAACCCGCTTTTTTGAGTTTTGTTTGTTGCGTTTATTTCTGAACTCGGGTCTCTTGGAAAGTTCAAAAAAAGCTGATCAAAGAGGTTCGGCAAAAATGGGTAGTCTTTGCTCGGTGGCCCTATTGTGGAAGGTTCTTATACTTTGAGCGTTCTTTCGTGCCTTTTTTCCTTTTTTGGAGAGCTTAAAAAAATGAATTCACGAAATTCACGAGCAGTACAAAATTAGTGGGTCAAAAATTTCAGTTCAGAGCAAAATGAAAACCAAAAAATCTTGAGATCCTTTTCATTGAAGTGCAAATTTTGGTTTACGAATTATTCGAAATAAAGCTCAAAACTCGAAACTTCAAATATAAAAAATCAAAGAAATAAACTTCAAAGTTAGATTTCGAAAGCGCGCCCCGATCACACAACTAAGCCTTGTCGCATCAAGAACTCCTCAAAAAAAATCTCCGCCCAACGGGGCTTCTGGCGACGTCGCCACGGCGGAAGAGATTACCGAAACCCCACACTGTTTCCGTTTTTGGAAGATGATGCCCCAACGACGCGTCGTCTTTGAACTAAGCTTGCAAGTAACACGATACTGACCTTTTTTTGGAATTGGAAAGGGATTAGGAATTTTTGGAAGTGAAATAGGATGTGTCACATTTTTTAATCCTGGGGCAAGG